CCAGTTTCTTCAGGTGCCATCCACAAATTAATCGACGAAAAGGGACCATTAATCTCCTATACACCCTAATATACAGTGTGTAAATTAAGTCTTGAAACAAATCTGTATTTTTTAAACCAAAATAGATAGAAATATTCTGTTTGTGGCGTTGATTGTTAACAAAGTTTCCGTAATATTTTACATCAAAACATGTTTTAACCCCCCTAACAGGGTAGGAGGTAAGGGGTGACTTACTTTTTTTCCAAATAGTGAAGGGGTTGTTAAAAGAAACACAATGACGCAAATCCGAGGTGAATATCTCACTCCTAGCCAAAATGGCGGGTATTCCAAAATGGGAGATTTTTCACATAAATTAAATTTTGGAATACCCACCATTTAGGCTAGGGATGAAATATCTACCTGGGGTTTGCGCCGTTGTATTTCTTTTAACAAACCCTTCAAAATGAGTTGTCACTAAATGCCCCCACCTTGTTATTAACAAAATAAGTCATCCCCACCCCCTCCCTGTTAAAGGGGTTAAAAAATATTGTTGATGTAACAAATTGCGGAGCCTATGTTAACAATAATTTCCACAAACAGAATATTTCTGTCTATTCCGGTTTTGAAAATACACATTTGTTTCAATATTTGTAAAATTGGTTCTTTTTCACATACAGTAGTCTAAATCAAATTATGGAAGGGATATCATTTTGGGGATATCATATAAATCATTTTGCCTAGGGGATATCTACATCGGCTTTGCTTCATTGTATTTCTTTTGACACATCCTTCAAAATGTCACTCAAAAGGGGCTGCTATTTGAAAAAATAAGTCGCCCCCACCCCTACCCTGTTAGGGGGGCTAAACAATATTTTTGATGCAAAACTACGGAAAATTTGTTAAGAATCAACGCCACAAACAGAATATTTCTATCTATTTTGGTTTAAAAAATACAGATTTGTTTCAAGACTTAATTTACACACTGTATATATAGCACAAACATAAATGTTTTAAATTAATCCCTTAATACATACATCTAATAGAATATTACCCGTTTTACAATAGTGTGTTCGTAACACATGTAAGACATGTCTTTCGAAACATATTTGAAGACATTTCAACACTTAGACGTAGGCTAGGTCCATTGTTACTTGTTTGCTAACATATAAAACCACCACATTACTTCACTTTTTTATCAGGTTATTTCAATGAGCTTATAGGCATTTTTAGAGCATAGTGGGCATGTTTGTACAACCTTTTAAAATTATTGTATTTAAATGAAGGTGAGGAATATTTCAGAGACAAAGTAACGCTTAGAGAAGTGTTCAAGCCGATCATTGAGAAATAACAATCACAGGCTGCGTTCTGAAGCGAATATTGCCCTTTGATTAAAAATATCTCCTTGTAGGCTTCAGGTTATATTTATCTTTCAACTTTAAAAAATGGTGAGAAATAAATGCTATTTATGTAATAGATTTGTCTTGTAATCTACAAAAGAAACATGATAAGGAAGTTTATTTGTTTTTGCTTTATTGTCCCTATAGGCCAAAAACCAAAATTGGGAACAAACGCGTAAACCTATGTTAATTCGAGTTCGCGAACCAGCATGATCGGACGATACGACGTTTTATTAGGAGGTAAAATAGGAGTAAATTGGGGTTTCCTCATTTTGATACCCAAAATATAAATTTTTCAATTTATTTCAAACTATTAAGTAGAGCTTAAAATAACTAATAATTTAGTACCGTATATGGAAGACTTGTTGCCTATGTTTAACGGTTTCAATGAAAATTCCAAAAAAGTGTACTGTATATTAAAAAATCCCTTTGTTAGTATTATGGACAATAAATAAACTGTTGTAGTTCGCTTTTAATCTAATTTGTCAAATTAGTTTAATTCATACTAAAATAACGACATTTGAATAAAACACATCTTATTACCATCCCTGTTGCAGCAAACCAAAATACTAATTATAATACATGTATTTTAAATAGGATATAAATCTGAAAATTTTTTGGGAACATAATTAGTTGTAGAAATCTAGCAAGGTAAATTCATTTTTTTTAGTCTGCAGATTTGCTGTGGAGGGGGTATTTAAGATCCTCCCCTTCGTTTTCAAAACTTTTGAGTAAAAATACAAAATAAAATGTTGATGAAGGTTACAATTAATTATTAAAAAATTCAACAAAACTGTTTTTTCTGTAAACACGTGATTATAACAATCGTTCCACTCCAGGAACATGTATTAATTATTTTGTAGACCTAATATTATTATAGTATTATTAATTACACCAGGATAAATTACGATGTTATATTATGGTTTTATAAACTGAGTGGGAGTAAGGCTGTTGATTGTGTAAATGTTTTGACTCTTCCATGCTCGAGGGCAACACAGGCAGTTCCCTGGAAGTTCATGTTAGCCTTAACAGATTTAGGGTTGTTCATTTATTTACCTACTAATTTCCAACCTTTAGTTATTGATCAATATTTTATTGAAATTTTGTTTTAACAGTTTCTTTACGATAAATCTACAGTCAAAACATTACTATGTTACCTGGGTATATAGGAATGTTACCCGCCTATGCCCACCTTAAAACCCGTTCCAATGTTCCGATCATGCTGATACACGATCTCTTTCGAATAAATGTTGGTTTACACGTTTATACCAAATTTCATCAAAATTAGGCTATTTATACAAAAACTACCTGAGAATAATAGATAGCCTCTTCAGCTATGATAAGAATAATAAATCATTCTTCAATATAATAAATAAATAAAAATAAAACCTCCTAATTTAAAAGCAAAAGCAAAATTAATGGAAACTAAATCGAGCTACATCAATTTTGATTTGTTTATGAATTTACAATACCCCGCCACACCAAACCTGCAGACTAAGCAAATTTCCATTTATCTGGTTGAATTTTCACTAATATTTGCGGTAAACATTGATTTTACCATGTTTGCCCGTAAAACATAACATTTTGCAATTTCTTCTTTTTAGAGCAAAATAATCTTTTGCAAAAAACGTAAATTTTAAAAAATCTTACCTATTTTTTTTTATAATAGATAATCTGTTATATTACACTTGCTTATGGGATATACTTTTCAAACAAAGCTAGTATCATTTTTATAAAACAAACTTTTTTAAATTCCCTGTAGCAGCAAGTAGCCTACTCATCTATCTATCTATCTATCTATATATTAATAGGCAAGCATGTTTCTTTAAAACCTTTTTTCTCAGCTTGTGTGCATCGTGGGGTAAATCTGCGCATACCGTTAGAAAGCAATTTTCCTGTAGGTGTGCAGAATCCCTTTATAAATTTAAATAGGCTCAAAGATAAGCACAAAAAATTAGTTTACAAATTTGAAAAAATTAACATGGATCTTATGCGTTGCTATGCTGGTGACGAAATAACAACGAAATATAAACAGAAAATCATAACAAATGGAAGAAACTCCAATCACATGTTTTATTTACAGTGTGGGGTGAAAATAGAGAAGTGAGTACATTACATATTTTTGGTCGAGTTTCGACCACTGGACGACCTCTCGTTAAAATTAATATTGAAATATAGAAAATATAGGAGACAATTTCAAGGAACTGATTTGTGTGAAATTAGTGAAACTTCAACCAGGTAAATGGAAATTTGTTTAGTCTGCAGGTTTGGTGTGGCGGGGTATTGTAAACTCATAAACAAATAAAAATTGATGTAGCTTAATTTAGTTTGAGTGAATGAATGAATGAAAATACTTATTTATTGAGGCGAACAATTAGGATCACATGGTCCTTTCTTACAGTTAACCTAGTTTCAGGGAATTAATTTTGCTTTTGACTTGAGTTTTTCTGAAAACCAATTTGCAATTGAGGATCAAATTAAATAAGGTCGTCAGAAGAAATGAGGATGTTTTCATTTTTATTTATTTGTTCCTAGCATTTATTTGTATTCAGTTCCAATACGTACATAATTTCCAAAAGTTATCAAAATATTAATAATCCTAATCTTACGATTACAATAGCTAGCCTACTTTTAAAAGGTAGGCTACTATTAGCACTGGCAAACTGTTATATTGCTATTCCAATACAAAACTTAAATGCAAGTTTTGCTTACTAGATATGTTATTATTGGCTGAAGGAGTTTCACTGTCTGTAGAGCTCTACAAACATTCACCATGACGTCATACGGTTCGTCCCCATTGTTTGTGAAGTGGTGTAGAATGTATACATCTAACCTGGTTATAGAAAATTGTGCTATGTTGTTTTTCTCTTTTTTGACAAATAACTTCAACATTATACTCACTAAGCAATTTTAAAGAACTAATCAATTTGAATATTTATTTAATTTAGATTTTATCAGCATTCTTTTATTTTGATTGTATACTTGTTATATCCTTATGATGTTGAAGTTTCAAAATTCTCAAAAACTTATATTTTTGTAATTATTAAAAACTTTGAATTTTAAAACTCTTGGATACGACTAAAAAAATACGAAAATGTCCAAAGCAAGATTTATAGTTTAAATATTTCGTCAACGGTTAAATAATTAAACATAAAATATCTCCAAATTGTTTTCCAAGGAAATCGACAAGTCATTAGCAACAGTTTTGCTTTTCTTTGGAGCTTTACAAACAGCCCAAGTATGACGTCAGAGATGTGACGCGTTGTTTAGAGCAATGGGTTACGATTTGTCCAATTAATGCTTAGTTTCTGGCTCTAGGTAGTGTTTTGGGGTAGTGTTTTTGTCGTTAATTTTATGTAAAAATTTTATAGATTATATTGTTTTATAATTTTTTACAAAAAAATTATTCAAGGTATAGGTACATTTTGAAAAAATAAAATTTGTTTTTGATTTTAATTTTTTCCAGGTTCAGCCACGACTCGACGCAACACGTGATGACCAAAAACAGGAACCAAAAGTAATAATTACACTAGATTATTAGTGTTTATGGATATTTTTGAGGGGGGTGGGTCCGGGCTGTCGATCAATAGAGCGGTAGGGCTGCGCAGTTTGCCGACAGCCGCTGCCGCCCAGTCGACTGCCGCCTCGGACCACCGTTGGATATGGAGGATCTCCCTTGTTGACGGCTTCATTATGGGCAGCGAGACATGCACCTGGGCCCTAGCCTGGCTGGCGGTCACCTCTTCGCTGCTCCACACCAACCACCACGCCAACGCCGCGTAAGTAGAACCCTGTGCGATAGTGCTACTAGGTCACCAATCCTGTGAGCTCAGCGACCCACCATCGGACGTCGGACGTGCTGCAGACGGCAATGTTCGTAGTGATAGAATACAGTGATAACCAATCTACCGAGTCTTCGTAGTTTAAAGTTTACCATAGCTACCAACCCGAAAAGTTTTCTCAGTGTATGTTATGTTCTAAGATATAATTTTACATACACATAAACCAACGTCAAAACAACACCCTACTGATTTAAGTACACACCACAAAATAAATGCAACAAATCGAGGTTTGTCTGCAAAACAAATAAATAGGTCAACCCTCCGCGGGGAAGTGTCAAAGGTCAAACCGCTCCTGGTGGCCTCACTCCCGGGCGACCTCACCTGGGACCTCGGTTCCTCAGGTGACTCGGCCTCGGTTCGTGAGGTGTGGTGGAGTACAGGCAGAGGTGTGGTGGGTGGGCACACCCAGTACCGCAGTGTCTTGCCTGACAACGCGCTCAACATTACGGATACATCGGGATGTTTTGTCTGGAATACAGGATAAATTGTGTTTTTGGAGATTTTACTAGATGACCCGATCACTTAGAACAAAATACAAATCCGAGGCGCATGCGCGACCGCCCTATAACTCAATATGTGTTACGGGCTTATTGTATTTTTGGAAAGCTATTTCGAAACGGGGTGGTTAATTATTTGGTGGAATTGAAAATGTTATTTTTATACTTTATCCTCGGACTGTACAATGTTTGGGGCTGCAGTTCTGTCTTGGTTCTACTGGGTTCAGCTGACGAGCCATCGCCCAGTTTGTCGATAGTTTATTTCACGGTAGACCCAGAAAACGGAATACCTTGTTTTCATCGTATCGCATTACTTTTCTCTTTTTGAAAGCCGTGACATCAACGTAACGTTTTTAGGCACTTAATAATTAAACGCTGTTTTCCAAAATATCTCTTGTACAAAATTAATTGTGCTGTCCATGATAAAAATGCACAAGTTATCAAGAATTGTACTTACACTAATACTCTTTTTCGTAAATTTGTTCCAACTAAAACACTGTCATAAACAACTTATTATGGTATTGACAACAATTTCCAAATAATGAATGTTTCCCAAAACACTCTAAGGCAATTAAATACAATTGTTATAAAATCTGCAAATTCGAACAATTTAAGGCATTTTAAATGTTTATTATATTATTTGTTGTTGAACACGTGGTAAATTCCTATTTCAAATATTTTTTTTTAGTATGACTCTCTCTTATACGCAACATACATGCCAAGATAAAATTAAATCTGACCAGGGTCGACTAAATTAAACATTCCATTTTTTATCATTTAAGGGCTAAAAACAACAATCTATATATTAATAGGCAAGCATGTTCCTTTAAAACCTTTTTTTCAGCTCGTGTGCAACGCAGGAAAAATCTACGGATATTGAAAGATATTTCCTGTAGATGTGCAGAATTCCCTTTACAAATCAAAATAAGCTAAAAAATATTCACAAAAAATTAATTTAAAATAAAAAATAAATAACATGGGCCTTATGCGTTGCCATACTGGTCATGAAATAACAATAAAATATAAACAGAAAATCAAAACAAATGGAAGAAGTTACAATCATTGTTTTATTTACAACGTAGGGCGAAAATAGACAAGCCTCTGTACATAACAATTTTTTGGTCAAGTTCTTGACCACTAGTTATTAATTTACAAAAACTAAACATTTTCACCGAAACTATGCAGTAGAGTACTAAACCAACTCTATCACTGTTTCCCCTAACATAGCAGAAACATTAAATTACTAAACAACAGACTAAAAGACAATCCTCCCCCCATTTCTGAACAAAAACACTTACAATATTATTTATTTTCATATCTGATTACTTATTCTTCCAAAGTGTAATTACGTTTCAAATACGATGGTTACCCTCACATAACAAATGATGTACACATACACATTGCTGTCTTTGTTGGAATTTGTTTTCAGATATTGTAACTAACATTGCAAAAGAAATGTTTGTGTCTTGGATTAAATATCCACGAAGACATTTCCCCAACACTTTTCTTACATATAATAATGAAAAGTTATTTCCACAAATTTATTTTAATAATTTTTCTAAACGTGTTATTTGATGAAATTATAGTAGAGGTCGTCCGTTGGTCGAAGACTCGATCAAAAATATCTAATGTACAGACTTCTCAATGTTCACCTCCACGCTCTAAATAAAACATGTGATTGGAATTTCTTTAACTTGTTTTGATTTTCTGTTTATATTACGTTGTTATTTCGTCCCCAGCATGGCAATAAGGCCAATGTTAATTTTTAAAATTTTAAATAATTTTTTTGTACTTTTTTAGTTTATTTTAATTTATGAAGGGATTCTGCACATACACAGGAAAATATCTTACCAACTGTATGCGTAGATTTTCCCTGTGATGCACTCGAGCTGAGAAAAAAGGTTTTAAATAAAACATTCTTGCCTATTATATAGATTAGCAAAACCGTGAGTATTCGAAATAAAATGTTGATTTATCCGAATAAAAAACTGTTACTAAAATAGATTAACTTGTTCGAAGAGTTGACATCGTGTGAGGCGTTAATTATATATCTCGATGTGTTATTTCGGTACCTTCCTCCTCTAATATTGAACAACCACATCCAGCAATAACTTAGGTTGTGTTCGAAAATAAATACTAAATTTAAGCCTTATCGCTTCGATTAAAACGTCAAATTCAACTGCTTTTTGTCTTCGAGCAATGTTTTGTAATAATTATAATACCTCGGGTATCTTAGTCTTATATCACACATTCAATCTTTTAAATTATCAAACAAAATTGATTTTTTTCAATGGATTCTTTACTCTTACCATTTAAAAAAACACACACACTTACCTACACTTACAGGATTACTTAGAACACCTAATACTTCTTAAACCTAATGTTATCTAAATAGGGAATAAATATGACATGTTTAAGGAAATATCAAAATAAAATTGAATCAGGCGAATGGAATTTCACTTAGTCTGCAGGTTTGCTGCACTGGGGGTATCTTTTTTGATTTTTGTTATTTTAGCAATGCTTTTGTGACCATGTAAATCGGTTAGACGTTTTGACAGAGGTTGTTAAAATGCGTGGAACGAACAATATTTAGTTGTGTGTGTTTTGATAGGGGGGGGGGGGGGGTAGAAATACTTCACATTTTAATTCTCTCAATAATAATGTTGTCATTCGTGGTTTTAAACATTGACAACAAAATATTAAAATCCTACATTTTGATTGAATAATATTTTACTGAAAACATAGATCCACAACTACTGTTAACACATAATACAAAACACAAAGGCTGTTAGGCGAGCTAAAACCGTTATTACGCTGCACTTGTAAGAAGACCAAGTAGTAAAAGATGGAGCAAGAAATTCCTTGAAAATAAACAGGAGATAAGAAACTTGATAAGAAGGAAGCTGAGGCGAGGGGTTGTTCAGTGACAGCTATTATCAAAGTCCTGAGAACAAAGAGACTTTGCCGTCGCGATTGTCTCAAAGCTAACCTCCTTTCCGGCATCCGGAGTGTTAAACATTCACTGTATGGGCTTCCTATTGTTGAGGTTATTTATATATCGTATTGATTACATTGTTTTACTGTATTTGTAAATCTTTATATTCAAACACATGTCAGTTCATATGTTTGAAACGTGTAAGATATGTTTTAGTGCTGCAGGTAAAGAGTATGTTGTGAAAAGTTACTATTGAATTATAAATTTAAATTAGTCTGTTTTGGTCCAGAACATACCTAACATGAAATTGGTTTTGTGTTGTAAAATTTTCCAAAAGTTCTTTATGCAATTTACGTTTGTAAATATTTTCAGAGGCTCGTTAAAAAACAATGTTAAAGTAAAGACTCTTGATTAAAAGTAAATAGTAGGCTTATTCGAGCCTTGAACCCAGAAACCATTCTTTGCGAGATTGTTTATATTTTATAAACAAGTATGCATGGCTCAAAAATATGACCAGGACTTGAACATCATAATGTTATATACATTCCATATTTATCTTGCTTTCGTTTTCACGTAGTATGGGGTTAAACGCATTGGGTAGCTTGTGTTACTGGCTAACACTAACTGTTTGCTTTGTCATGACCATGCATTAACCCCCATGATCAAGGACAGTTGGGTCCAGTTTTGATCCATTAAAAATCTAACGACTTTATCCAGGATCGAACCAGAATTTGTTTAATTATCAGGGAAACACTATAACCACTGTCACCCTTAAGTTATTTAGCTACGAGGACTTGGCCTTGAAGAACTACTCCCGATGTTCGTATACAGCTCACTATCTCCTTCATCTTTTTGTGTTCCTTAAGTGTCTTACAAGATCCAAGTTCATATGCAGCCACCATCTCCTTATCATCTTTTTGTGTTCTTCTAAGTATCTTACACTTACAAGATCAAAACCCATACGCAGCGTAAAAAACGCATTCTTCATTTTTTAAACTACTATTCCTTAAGATATGCAGCCTTCCAATTCCTTCGCTTTGCTCCTGAAAAAGTTCCATAAGGTTACATTTCATCGATAGGCTTTCGAAATACACTCTCTGAATCTAAAAAACAACAATTCTTCATGATAATCAACATAACTTTGAGTTAAAAATCCTTCCACCAGATCAAAACTAATCCATAGCTTTGAAAAAAGCCACACATGTGGGAAGCCAGGTATGCGGATATTCAAGACATAACAGTTTGTCTCGGTGGATTTACTACAGGAAACGAGCGTCGTAGAGCATCCATTACATTACGTTCGCTGGGAGGTAGCGAGAACACACGAACGTGTTGGGACATAAATCTAATCGGTAGTGAGCTGAGACGGAGCAAAACCTTCCCTCCTCAACCCTTAGACAATACATTGTGCCTCTGATACATGGGAAAATAGGCCAATACAGCTAGGTTACATACATAACGAATGATACAGGCATTGTGTGAATGAAAAACTATAGGGATTTTTT